ATTTTCTTGAATCGCATTTATGGAACTATATTTCTATCTCTCTCAGATTTTCAGGTTTAAATGCAGAAGTTTTAAAAGGAACAAAAGGAAGAAAATGTGTATCCTTATAACTAATATGAGTTACATCAATATAGCCTACAACCTGACACCACAAAATACTGTTGTCATTTGGCAACTGTATTGCGAGATCATTTCTTTTGTATCTGTGATGAACGGTTATTTAAACTAATTCTGAAAAAGATGCAACTTGATTTCTGCTTTTCTGGTGAATATCAGAAAATTGAGCTATAATCATGTAAAAGATGATCATAGACAACAAGTACTGATAAAATTGAAACCATCTATTATACAGATTTAATGAACTTGAAAAGATGCAAGAAAATCATATACTTGCATCAAATACCATTTCATAATCTAATTTATAACTGGGAAGTCTTTTGATATAAGGTTGAAAAAATATCATAAAGGAAACTGGAAATTGGAAATTGGGGGAAAAAATCACTTAAATTGTAAAAAATTAACTCCTTAAATTACTAATCCTATTAATGATGGGAAGATATGTATACATGCTCTGTCCACTGCAATTCTAGTTTATCAATTCTGTTTATACACAGATGGCTCTAGCACCAAGGATTCAATTAACTGACCTACGTGATCTCACTTGTTTACACCAGTCCTTTAACTTTTGAAAATAAAAGTTAGCATTTTTCTTACTATCATTATTGTTCATTACATTAGAATAACAACAATGTTAACAATAATAATGATAAGGTAATTATATTAACAATAGTAATCAATGTTTATAATGGTAATAACAATATTAGGACTGAAAACATTTCTCCTGAAAACATAAGGAACTGGAGATACAGGCAGATGGGGCATCCTGGTAACCCACTTGTCCAGCCATCTATGTGCAAATAAAATCAACAAGGCAAAACTGTAGTAGACACAGCATGTACCTGGAACCCACTGATTAATTATAATAATCACCTTTCCATCCTCATCCAGAAGAGGCTCGTTATACGCTCTCACGACAACCCACTCTATCAACAGTCCTTTGAATGTCACAACAGCTCTTAATACTCTGCCTAAGGTAACCTGAAAATAGATTATATACCATAATGATTATTTTCAATGCAGATGTGTGGATGGATAAATTTTCAATTATAGGAAATAATGAGTTTTTTAATATCTTCTTTGCTGAAAAAAATATAATAAGGAAATATATCACACTGTAATGTATCTCTAAAAATGACATTGCTTTCGACAAATTTTCTGATAAATGAACATGTCATTTGCTAATGAAAATATCACACTGCTGCTGATAAAGTAACATAATTTTACAGACTTGGAAAATAAAGCAAGGTTAATTTTTTACCACGGGATAGAAGGGCATATTGTAATAGATATCATATAAGAAAACACTGAGGTGAAAGCACTGTCATGGGGAAAATTGTCTTGTTTTGAAGTAATTCTGTTGAACTTAGGTAGTTGTCTGTTATAACAGTGTGTACTGTTTACTCAATGCAAGTAATTTTTAACTATACTAATAATTTGATAGAATACACATCTTGTTTTACACACATATTCAATTTTGTTATTTAATAAATAAAGAATATTTTAGTCATTTTACATGTGCATATAGATGCATAGGCATATGTGCAAACAAACACATACCTTGACAGAGAGACAGACAGACAAATGCACTCTCTCTCTCTCTCTCTCACACAAACACACACACACACAAAATTACACATGCATGCAGACACACCCACACACAATTACATATTATAAAAAATAAAACAAAAACATACCTGTATAACTGCATTATTGCCAAAAGGCCTAGACACATTTAACGTCATGTCCTGGAACATTAGATTGATGCTTTGAATCACAGTGTCTACTTGTCTGAAAGTAGAAGTGGATATGCATTTGAAACAAAATTCTTATGAAAACACACAAAGTACGTACAATTATGAAGTATAAAGTAGACTATTAAGAATGGTAAGTCTGAATAATATACAGGACCATTTATTCAGCCTCTTGAATCAGTGTGATCAGAAAAGTGGCCTTCTTTAATGCAGATTTTGTTGATGGCTCCACAAGTTTTTAATCACCAAATAGCCAGTTATCAAGAACTACCTATTTCACCTGTTTACCCTTTTCCTTCACTTTAGGAAAGGTTTTTTTTTGTATCATTTCATTGTCAAAAATATTCTAATGACAATTCAATAAGCATAACATCAATAACAATAATAACAGTATCGAAAGCAATGGTATTAGTTTCCCGCCAGTTCAATGAATGGGAAAATCAGGGTCGGTAACTAGGGTCTACTGATAGACTCCTTGCCGGCTGAGCACATGTGGAGCCATCTGTATGTAACAAAATTCACCAAAAACTACAGGGGATCGAACATAACTCTGTGGCGAATGGGTTTAATTTTGTATCTCACATGCTGGCTTTGTGATGTGACTCTTGGCATATGTACTTGCCCCTCTCTACGTCTATGATTAATATTTTCAGTGTCCATAATCTTAATTCAATACAATGTCTCAAGGCTGGAGAAAAGGAACTTGCTAATGGAAAACAGTTCTGTTCTTTACATTTCTTTGTGCAACAATTTCATTCTATAATAATAGTAAGAGTAATAATAATAATCATAACCATAATCATAATAATAATAAATAAAGTGAATTTGTGAAGACCATAGACTTTCCATTAGAAGTTTAATAATTTTTGAGTGTTGAATAAAGTTTTGTTCTTTATACTTCATTGCTTATTCTATTTTCAAATACTAAATTATGCCATGGATCAGAAAACGTAATAATCTGGAAGTCTGGGTTACCTCTGGTCCCAAGCTTGATGGACAAATGGTCCAGTTCAATACAATTGTTCATACTCTAAAAGTTCTTATAATTTACACTATATATATTATGATAATAGCAGATTATTTTCACAAACAAAAAAATTACACATATAACTGTGGGGGAAAAAAAAAATACTTACTGTTGGGATACATTATGATTGTACTGCACTTTAAACTGTCTTCTCTTGGCAGACAGTGACAGGGCAATATGTGTTCTCTTGAGATTATTTGAACCAAGGAGTGAATGGATCATGGTGGAGTAAGTATGAACCTGTAATAATTTTCGGTTAAAGATATTGTAAAAAGAGTCATACATATTTTCATCTTTTATCACCATAATTTATAAGCATGACAGCATTTCCAAAAACTGATAAACATATTTACTCAAATGATGTGTCTTACCTTCTCTGTCCATGTATAACAATCTAAGAGCTGATAGTAGAGAGGAAGCTTATCTGGCGACGGGTCGAGTGACAGGAGCCCAGTGTTGCCGAGGCTCACTGGGTTTGTGGGTGTGTTTAGGGCTACTACTTGAGTTTCCAGATCCCTGTAAGATGCAAGTTAGTTAGCAACATTAGCTGAAGTTTTCTCATGTATATGAAGTAAGGTAGCTAATATAAAATTCAAATATGAATTTTGGCAAATCAATTTTCACTTCACCTTTTCCTCTCAGAGCAAGAACTAATGACAATTTTGTGCTGTCTCTAAGCAAGGTGCCCCAACCATTTGGTTGATATTTAGTGTATATATACATATATGTAAGGGGGGGGGTATAACAGAAGATTTTCCTGCATGACTGAACTTAGACTGGTTACATATCATATATGACAAGCATTTTCAAGAAGCACTGTAAAGATGCAGCCCACAGCAAATTATACAAATTACAGTCGTTTCGCCCCCAGTTAATTAGGTTGTTTTGCCCCAAGCCGCGGTCGTCTCCTATCCTATCCTATCCTAACCTAATTAACTGGGGGCGAACTATGTGCATGGGGCGAAACGACCGTGGCTTGGGCCGATACGGGCTAATCAACTGGGGGCGAAATGACCGGTTACCAAATTACTGTTCCTCTTAGCACTTGCCACAAAACACAAAACACATTAAGCGAAATAAAACTTTATCTCTGGCTCGTTCATGTACAGATGGTTTTGACTGGCTGTCTCTTTGAAAAGGCAAGCCACTTAGTAGATTTGTAGGTTTTTCTAGCCAAATGCACCAGATATTCACCACCGAGGCGATTTCGAGAGTACAAATAGGATAAATTCACAGGCGATCTACCAATATCAATTTGTTTCCTCGACAAGGCCTTAGCTATAGTATGATTTAGCTACAGGAACGTCAAAAACTGGATCCATATTCTCCATATTCAACTAAAGTATCCATCACAAATGCCCGATATATTCAAAATACTCCATTAAGCAACACGAAACGTCCAAACCAACCTCAGCTGATTCTTGATATCGGCCAGGGTCTTGATGCAGCTCTCCCCCAAGGAGCTCTCCACCTTGTCCTCGTCCTCATGCTCCTCCTTGGGCCCCTCGGCCAAGACCCTGAAGAAGTTGGTCACACTCGAGCGCAGACTCCGCACTTTCTTGAGGGTGAGCTGCAGGACCTCGACGCTGGGAGTCTCGACCGGCGCCGCCATGGTGCTTGGGCGCGTTTCTTAAGGGCTTCGCCACTCGGAATCTAGGGCTCTTTTTTGGCCTTTTTAAGAACATTTTTAATTTTTTTTTAACATCTTTTTAAGCCTTTTTTCTATATGGGGTTGAAGGGGGTCTTGTCGTCATTTTAGACGGTCTTGAGAACTTTTTATAAATCGTTATTCTCGTTAGTTTTTTTATGTTTTCTGATGAAAAAGTCATTTCTCTTGATAAAAAAAATCCAAAAAACAAAAAATATAACCATAAGAAACCTCTGTAAGAATCAAGAAAGCCATGAAGATAAAGATATTTTGAATAATAATAATCATGCATAATACAAAAATACAATGAAAACACCCCAAAAAATACAACCACGATAAATAACAAATCCCCAATCAACGTAACAACAAGCACGAAACGAGGCAAAAAAAAAAAAAAAAAAAAGAAAGGAAAAGAAAAAAAAAAGACAAATAAAAGGCAAATCCGATTCCCTTGAGAAATGCGCCAGTGCCTCCAGGACGCAGTGGCTCCGGGAACACCTGCTTCGTGTCACTGATTTCGGCTTCCCTTCCCCTTCCTCTCACTCTGAAGGAAAATGGCACAGGTAGAGGCCCGGGGGACGAAGCCCGAATATGCAGGAATATTGGTGAAGTGATTGTGTGCTGAAACAGAGAGAGGAAGTTGGGAAATATTGTAGTTTTTTCCTGGACCCGTTGATGCCAGGTCACAAGGGTGGGTTTTGTGGGGGGGTTTAAAACGCCTTTTTCTGAGCGACGTTTTCCTTCTAAAGCGATATTTAAAAAGCGCTTCGAAGACGATTTCTCTGTGTCAAAGAGAGCTGTTGGTACCATGTTATGGAAATTGATGAATGTGTTGTACCATATTGAGCCCGAGATTTGGCTGGAGTGACAGCGGTGGGCGAGTCGCTCGGTTTTCCATTATCAGTTCTTTGGTTGTGCGTTTTTCAGAATTCGGTTTTATGGTGTTATTCGTGTTATTTATGTTGATATTGAAATAACTGTTGATGTTGCTGTTACTGTAACTATCGTCATCATCATTTTTACTTTTATTATTAGTTATTGTTATTGTTGTTATTATTATCATCAGTCATTATCATTAATATCATCATCATTTTTACAATTATTATTTTATTGTTATTATTGTCAATCATTATCATTATCATTAACATCATCATAATTATCATTAGTATCATCCTCAACCTCATTAGGATCACTAATCTTGGATTATTAATATTCAGCTTGTATGCTTATTAGTTATTCCTTGTAATTCATATTTATGATCCGTGTTCACTTATTATCTGGTGGAGGCCTGCTGAGTCACTTGCTGTTTTGAGAAATGCAGATTGGAAATGCCATTGCAGAACATTGCAGTTCCTTAAGAGCCCAAGAGGAGCATGCGTCTGTCTTGTCCTTCTTAATTAGGCTCACGTGTCACTGTTATCCCTTTTAAAGCAACGTCAACAAGACTGATGGTAACAATAACCAAATAGGTCCAGTGCAGAGGGACGTTGGCAATGCACGTGGCTCTGCTTGGCCGGGGCATCCACTACCTGCCCCTGAATAATCATTTGAAAGAGGGCACCGACCTAACCCTTGCAAGTGGAACTAATCAGTTGTGATGATAATGAGACTATCATTAGAAATAAAAAAATGCTACAGATAACAGTAACAACAACAATAATAATAGTAATAAGTCACGATACAAACAGCTAGAAAACAACAGGTAAAAAGAGAAAATAAATCCACTAAACATTTGGCAAAATGGTAATAGCAACTTAACCCATTGCCGCCGAGGATGGCATGTACGTACATGCCATGCCCACTGTGAGTCGACTTGTTTGATTGTTTTTACACATAGATGGCTACACTTGTACTAAGTCACCAGTGAGCCTATTAAGAACACTGCCTGTCTCGCCCGTTCACCCTTTTCATCGACTTACGAAAATATTTAACGTTATCCTAATTTGCTGTTAAAAATAACACCATCTATATTTATAGCACTAGTAAGAATACATTTTTTCCTGCCAATTCAAGGGAAGGTGAAATCAGGACTATCAGAGCCATCTATGGACAGAGATATTTCACAAAAATAAAAAAAATGAGTACAGTATTTTCCCCATTTTTTGTTCATTTTCCCCGGCGGCAATGGGTTCATTGTTAGCCGTATAGAAATGAAGTTTATAGAAAGAACATAAGGTTATTGTGTGGAATGGGGCAGCTTGAATGAGTACCCTGCCCTGCAGAGATGTGTGGAGACTAGGGCATCCCTAGACTTAGTGATGCAAACATTGATTGTATGCTATGAGATGCTATTGTCACGTAATGTTTATTTTCTATAGATAATAATTTATATCTTCATGGTGGTTATTCTAGTTTTCCTATAACTAATTGTGGTCCTGATTTAAACATTTACGGAATAGAGAAGTAGAAGTTGACTGGAGGTGGGTGAAGGGAAATAGGAGTTAATAGAAATAACACAAAATGCAAGAAAGATAAATATAGATATAGAAGGGAATTGGAAAAAAATCACATAATGGAGGAGGTTGATTATGATGAAAGAAAATTGAATTAGAATGATGTGACAAGTTAATGACAAAATAGATAAGGGGCAGACATTGGATGATGCCTAACTGTGACCTTCAAGTAGGCCCAAACGTCCCTCTGTGGGCAAGGAACAGTTAGGGGCCTAATCACTCTTGGTATCAGTAAGGCTTAAACTCCTGAACACTAAATTGTTACTCGGTGCTTTAGCCCACAAAGGGCTTGGTTTTAGTGAAGTGTTATTTATGATATTGAAATATGTGGAAAGAAATTGTGAATTTGATGAGATTAATCTTTATTTCAAACTGAAAATAAAAAATATTGAACATTTTTGGAAAAAAAGAAAAGTGTAGAGAGAAATTAAAGTGAGAGATAAATGACATTTAACCAGTTGATCAGATAATTTCCAAAAAAGATCATTATTTTTGCTGACATTCCAGACATGAGACACTTTGTCTAAGAAATTGTTTTAAGAAGCTTGTCCTGCACCCAGCTGCTTCTGGCATCTCTCATGGATTTCATTTTAAACAGATGGTAAGTAATTTGGTCTCCTTGTTTTTCTGACATTTTGCTTTATAGTTAAGATAAGTTAATTGTTTTTTATCTCTGGTTATTTTTGTTTTACAGTTTATCAGTTTTTTTCATATTGTATTCTTGATATTGTTTTTGTAATTATTTGTTATATCATCAAAAATAATATTTTTATATATGTTATTGCTTTTGATATTGCTAATTGCAGTAATAATGAATTATTTAATTATAAGCATTATTGTTACTGATGGCATTTACAATTCTTATTCTTATTTTTATTATTATAATTGCTACTATTTTTCCTGATTATTTTTTTTTTGTTTTATTATTATTATTGTTATCATCATTCTTGTTATTGAAATTATTGTCATTACTGTATATTATTATCATCATCATGACAATTATGGTATTATTGCCATCATAAGATTGTTATTATTAATTCTGTTGTTGTTATTATTATTATTATTATTATTATTATTACTATTACTATTACTATTACTATTACTATTACTATTACTATTACTATTACTATTACTATTACTATTATGATTATGATTATGATTATGATTATGATTATGATTATGATTATGATTATGATTATGATTATGATTATGATTATGATTATGATTATGATTATTGTTATTATTATAGGTAGTTTTGTTGCTGTTTCTGTGATTTTTCTTATTTTTGTTATTATTGTAACTAACCATTATTATGGTTGTTGTTGTTAGGCTTTTGTGTTTTGTTTCAGGCCAGGTAGAGAATGTTCAGATTTCAATACCATGGTTAGGTCAGATTTTTTCACTTATTTTTGGCAATACCAGCCAATATCCAAATCTCACATTTCTAGGATATATAGCCAATCCATAAATATCACTTCTAAGTGTAAGCACTACAACAAGAAAGACTCGTGTCACTATAAGTGTTTTAGATATGGGGTTTGCTTTCAAAATGACAAAATATTGACCAAAAATTTCAAATTTCTCAGGGTCTGTTCAAAAATTGTGTCAGGCAAGTTAGGGGAACCACATTTTTTTTCTTACCAAGTCATTATTGTTTTTATCATTGTTGTTATTATTGCTATTGTCATTGAATAGATTATGGTCATTATTATTAAAAGCGTTATTTTCATTAGTAGCCTATTGACTTTTGTTAATTCTTATATAGATACTATTCTTGATTTACCAGTTTTTCATAGGACTTTTTGATCACGGATGTTGCAGATGGTATTGTTGTATAAATAGGTATGTGTGCATAATCTGAATACCTAACATGTGCTAATTTCAGTTTATCCTTTGGCCTGTATTCTTCATCATCAAGAAAAAATATCTTTAAACTTCTTATCAGCATTTATGATCTGTGGGAAATCACAGATATTTTGATTGGATTATCATTTTTTTTAGGTTTGTGTTTGTTGCCATAAACAGCAATTAAATTAGCAGTAAGAATAACTTAGAGATAATTCAGGTAATTGCTGTAGACAATGCAAATTTGAGGGATAGGCCTATAGATAGTAATTCACCTATTCATTAATCACAAAAGAAAATTAAACACCATACTTATCACCTTATCATGTTTATTTGTTATCTTTGCCATAACAGACACAAGTGACAAGGCAGGTTTTCTGGAGTTAGTTAAAGCAAGTTGTTTTATAATTGCTCTGAAACAAGAAACTC